TAGATAATAAGCGAATGAATGAATGAGTGAGTGAGTGAGCAATAGAGCTATTAAAGAAGTTAATCAAGTTAAGGCATATAAAGGCAGATAGAGAGAGTAAGGAAAGTAAAGAAAGTGTAAAGTATAGTATATAGACGAACGTAACTGACACAAAATAAAATAGAATAAGATACATTGAAGTGCATTCCACCAACAAGCACATCCATACACTCATTCATACATCTCACATAAACGCAGTCGTCCAATGAGGCTAAATCAAATAAATTTACAAAATCCATTACGTTGAATATGCAATGAGGCAGATTATATTATCCTAAACAGACATAATATTAAGAAGGTACGGTAAGATAAAGCGAATACACTCAGCACTCAACAAGGCAACCAACAAGGCAACCAAGTGTTTCAGATATAGCTGTCAATTAACTTTATTCATTAATTAGTCGTAGAAAGATAATGATGCAAAATATTACACAGTACTAACTGAATTTATTGCATATAATATGTAAATTGGGTATCAGTATAAGTATAAAAATATGTATAAGTATAATAATAATAATATGTAAATATAAATATACAAATATATAAATAAATATAAATAAATATAATATATCAGAAAACGGAGCACAATAGCGCATATCATCACTCATTGCAATGGGTACACGCACAAATCACAAACACACACGCACCGATATTCAATATTCAATATTAATGGCCTAATCAAAACTCTCAGCAATTCAGCAATTTAACGATTCAATTAATATACGATCCTCCTCCATGTCTCAACTGAGTATATGGCACATGGAGATGGAGTAAACCAGTGCCGCCGATGATCATGTCAATCAGAGATAAGAAACCGCGTGAAGCTTAAGCTTAAGCCATAAACCATATGCCATATAGATGCGTAACCTTCGAGAAATTTTGTAAAATTTACAGTTCGTCCCATTATGTCTGTTGTCTATTAAATTAGTTATCAAATTAATTAATTGATTATTACACGGAACGTACAAGCGCCAGCGACCAAATACATCAATAAAACACTTTCAATAAATTACAGTGACCGAAACCAAACAGGAATAGAATGTAACGGAAGGTAACGATGGCGGAAAACATTCCGGTATCTCACTAAATAAAGTACGCAACACTATCCGTTGATAATAATTACAAATTATCCCTAGTTGGTAACCATCCGCAGCACCGGCAGCCAAATATTATCGGCCACAAGCATTCTACTTATTTACCATATAATACTCGGCCGTTCATCCCGTAACGGTTATCCACCGACCAACTATCCGCCGCGCAGCAGTTACCCACCGCGCGCCAGATATCTGCTACATCACAGTTACCGACAGCTAAACTATCCGTCGTGCAACCGCGCCATCCTAGGAAGCCATACTTACCATCAGACTTACCATAAAAGATAAGTCCGATGTCCAATACTATTCACGGAAAGGTAATTATAAACGGACAAATAAGATCCCAGACGGATTAAAATCATGAATAAATCAATTAATAAAACAATACCACGACTCACGGAAAAGGTAATTATAAAAGCAAACGCGCAACAAATAGAACCCCAGACGGATTAAAATCAAGAATAAATCAATTAATAAAACAATACCACGGCTATCATTTATTATTTATAAATATATAAATCATACGTTTGCAATAGTGTAGGATGAAGTAAATATTAAGCATAAATAATGATGAAGATAGAATGAAATGAAAGAAATGAAATCAACCCGAATAAGATCCGCAGATTGCAGGACGCATCATGTTACTGCCTATCGCGCCGCAGGAAACAAACTACGCAGAACAACGAAACCAAGAAACCGCCACAGAACGAAAGGCCGAATAAATAAACGAATGAAACATTCAACCTAAACAGAATCGAAATCAAATATAACCATTGTTCCGGCAAATTTCGTCGCGGCGTATTTCCCGCGATTGGAAATCTTTAGGAAAATAAGCGAGGTGCCGGATCGCGTTTACCGAAGCGCAGGAGTCTTGAAAAGGCGGAAGCAATGAACTCCACAGCAACGTGTTGCGTAGTTTTAGCAAAAACTCGTTGTATTTAATAAATTAACAGTTAGTCTTAGGAATAAAAAGTTTATATTTCAATCCTCTATTCACTGAATTAATCCGCGTTATTGCGGTTCGCCGAAGCACTTGGTTCGAGCGAAGCGCCAGAAAAAGAAAAAAGGAGAGATTTGCGGATATGAATTCTCCGAAAAGCGTTCGCGAGAGTTTCCTTGAAAACAAGAGTGAGCCCCGTCGCAGAGCGACGACAGGCTCGCACCTCTCCCTCTCTCTCCCGGCGTCCTCGCCCCACACCGCTGGCCAACGGCGTGAGAGAGATGGGCGCCGATGAGAGAGGGATGGCAATACGACAGAAGTCAGTCGCGTTAAGCCGAGTATCCACCTGTATCAAACGCCCGTATCGTATCACCGTTCCGAACCCTTTTGAATAGGCAGACGTTGCCTCGTTGCATGCCACGGCGTGCTACGGCTCGGACAATATTTCTTCGTTTCTTGAAAGAAACTCCTATAGGCGAGAAGTTTTGATTTCCTGCATGCTGTTTCTTTATTGTAATTGTCCTAACCATATCGTGTTTGGTATCATTTTAATCAGAAAAACGTCACAAATATCTTGGTAAAAGTTTTATAAGAAAAAAATGAAAAATAACAAAGTTCAGTCATTGCATTAGTATTATCTCACTGATATATCCGATTCCAGATCATATTATCTCGAGCCTCAAGTGTCATGTTTCCACTTGACATAGCATTTCGGGCCTTCGCCTGGGTATGTTGTTTTTACGTTTCAAGTGGTCTCCGAACCTATCCTTTGAACAGCAAGAAACCGACAATTTTCGGATCGGCCCGTTCCTTCACCTCCGTATCACAGCCCAATAGAACTTTCGATATTCGGCAACGGAAAAATCTCTGGATAATTAACATTGTCCTTTTTCAATAATCACAGAGGTTCTTATTAACATTGCTCTTTTATGTACAGCGTATCACCGAAGATAATTGATCTCTTTAAATATATTTAGACGATAAAATTTGTCTAAATTAAATTAGATTAAGTTCATAAATAATTTCATCGATTTTGAAATGAATCCAATAATACTGCAAGATTTCAAATAAATTGAAACCCAAGTGACGGCATGAAACGCTATGTCAAGTGCAAACGCATAAACCTTTCCTTCGACACAACGGCAAAGAATCGACAAATTTTTCGGATGGGTCCGTTGCCTCCGTTCCTTTGGAACGGCACGCAGCAAAACGAAACTCCTCGCCTGTAGTGGCCCAGTCCTATTGCCGAACCGTTTCTATCAAGAAACGAAGAAATATTGTCCGAGCCGTAGCACGCCGTGGCATGCAACGAGGCAACGTCTGCCTATTCAAAAGGGTTCGGAACGGTGATACGATACGGGCGTTGGATACAGGTGGATACTCGGCTTTAGACATTCGGGAAACAGTTCGCTCGAACAACCATCTCACAACGTCAAATAACGCATATAGTCAGGAAAGTCACGTAGGACCAATCAAGCAACATCCAGTCAGTTAATAAAATAAAATAAACCAAAATAGAATCAAAGCAACCAAGGCAGCAGGTATCTAGCAGAAAGGAAATATAAAAGAAAAGAAAAGAAGCAAACAAGGTAATGATTGTAATAACGCATAATAAATTTAAACAAGAGTAGCACAAGTTAATGACATGAATATTAATTCCTACAGGAACAGCACACCGTCATCAAAAAGCTATACTATTATCGAAGAGAAACGGCTTGAATAAATTAAATTAAAGAATACCAGAGAAGAATATCAAAATGTCAAAATGTCCAAGGAATGTCCAAGGATAGAGGTGACAAGAAATAAAATAAAATAAATGATGGTAAACAGTGATACGTGGCACAAATAAATTAAATATAGAAAAATATATATAGGATAATCGTATGCAAACAAACCATAATTATATTAATATTAATACCATTTACAGAACTTATCATGAGTCAAAATAAATTAAATCTTAACAGTTACCTTGATTCAATTAATTCAGAATGAATGAACAATGACAGCATGAAATGAACGACTGAACAATGAAATCAATTAAAGATATTAAAGAAGAATGAAGTAAAAAATAATAATAAGCATAAAGTATAAAGTGAAGGCCGTAACCAACCTAATGTAGATAATGTAATGTAATGCACTGTAATATAAGTAATGCAATATACTGTAAAACAGAATGTAATAATAAACTGAATACAAAATACAAAATACAAGAAATGAACTCAATAAATATAAACGTAAAGATTATTAACTACAATACTCTATTTCTCACTAGAGTAGATTATAAGTTAGATTGTAAACGGTAAATGGTAGATGATAAATGATCATGTCAATACAATTGCAAACAGAACTAATTAATGAATGACATATCAAAATAGAGTAGCTAAAGCAACAAATAAATGAACCAAATATAAAGTACGCAGTTCAATAAACACTATACCAGTGTATAAACTGAAATAACAATAAAATGAAATAAAATAAAATAGAATAAATAAATAAGTAAATAATAAATAAGAGTACTTGAATGATAAGATTATAATAAAATTCACGCACAATCAAAACATTTGGATGGACAAAACCACTTATCATTGTAGAGAGAGCAAAACGTAATTAAAATAAAGTAAAATAAAGTAATATAAATCATATCCATTAACTTTAATTGATCAGAATGAATGAGTGAATGAATAATGAATAATGAATAAATAATAAATGAATGAATGGAACGATTAAGGAAATTAAAGATTAAGGAAAATAAAAAAGGTTGAAGGCGTGAGTGAGACCAAAAAGCAGTAATATGTCAGAACGGATAAACAATGAGAGAATGAATGAATGACTGAACAGCGAAATAATCAATTAAAGATAATAAAGAAGAATGAGGTAAATAACAAGATAAATAATAAGGCATAAAATATAAAGTGAAGGCTGTAACCAACATAATGTAAATAATGTCATGTAATGTAATGTAATATAATGTAAAACAAAATGAAATATACTATAATAGAATACAAAATACAAGAAATGAACTCAATGAAATATAACCGTAAAGATTATTAGCTACAAGACTCTATTTCCTCACCAAAGTAGGTTATAACCTAAATTATAAATGGCAAACGATTATGTCAATGCAAATGCAAGTAGAACTGATTATTGGATGACGTATCAAATTAAAATAGCTAAAGCAACAATGAAATCAAATGTAAATTACGTAGTTCAATAAACACTATACCAGTGTATAAACTGAAATAAGAATAAAATGAAATAAAATAAAATAGAATAAATAAATAAGTACATAATAAATAAGAGTACTTAAATGATAAGATTATAATAAAATTCACGAACAATCAAAGCATTTGGATGGACAGAACCATTTATCATCGCAGAGATAGCAAAACTTAGTTAAAATAAGTAAAATAAGGTAAAATAAATCATATCCATTAACTTTAATTGATCAGAATGAGTGAGTGAATGAATAATGAATGAGTGAATGGAACGATTAAGGAAAATAAAGAAGGTAAGAAGGCGTGAGTGAGAGCAAAAAGCATGGATGTGTCAGAATGAATAAACAATGAGAGAATGAAAGAATGAATGACTGAACAGTGAAATAATCAATTAAAGATAATAAAGAAGAATGAGGTAAATAACAAGATAAATAATAAGGCATAAAATATAAAGTGAAGGCTGTAACCAACATAATGTAAATAATGTCATGTAATGTAATGTAATATAATGTAAAACAAAATGAAATATACTAAAATAGAATACAAAATACCAGAAGTGAACTCAATGAAATATAACCGTAAAGATTATTAGCTACAACACTCTATTTCTTCACCAAAGTAGATTATAAACTAAATTATAAATGGTAAATGATTATGTCAATGCAAATGCAAATAGAACTGATTATTGGATGACGTATCAAAATAAAATAGCTAAAGCAACAATGAAATCAAATGTAAAGTACGTAGTTCAGTACACACTATACCAGTGTATAAACTGAAATAAGAATAAAATGAAATAAAATAAAATAGAATAAATAAATAAGTATATAATAAATAAGAGTACTTGAATGATAAGATTATAATAAAATTCACGCACAATCAAAGCATTTGGATGGACAAAACCACCTATCATTGTAGAGAGAGCAAAACTTAATTAAAATAAAGTAAAATAAGGTAAAATAAATCATATCCATTAACTTTAATTGATCAGAATGAATGAGTGAAAGAGTAATGAATAATGAATAATGAATGAATGAATGGAACGATTAAGGAAATTAAAGATTAAGGAAAATAAAGAAGATAATGAAAATAAAGAAAATAAAGAAGGTAAGAAGGCGTGAGTGAGAGCAAAAAGCAGGAATGTGTCAGAACGGATAAACAATGAGAGAATGAAAGAATGAATGACTGAATGGTGAAATAGTCAATTAAAGATAATAAAGATGAATGAGGTAAATAACAAGATAAATAATAAGGCATAAAATATAAAGTGAAGGCTATAACCAACGTAATGTAAATAATGTCATGTAATGTAATGTAATATAATGTAAAACAAAATGAAATATACTAAAATAGAATACAAAATACAAGAAGTGAACTCAATGAAATATAACCGTTAAGATTATTAGCTACAACACTCTATTTCCTCACCAAAGTAGGTTACAAACTAAATCACAAATGGTAAATGGTAAATGATAAATGATTATGTCAATGCAAATGCAAATAGAACTGGTTATTGAATGACGTATCAAAATAAAGTAACTAAAGCGACCAATAAATCAAATCAAATCAAATGTAAACTGCTTAGTTCGATAAACACTATACCAGTGTATAGACTAACAATAAATAAATAAATAAGTAAATAAGTAAATAAGGATACTTAAGTGATAATATTATAACAAACCATGCACGATCAAAGCATTTGAATGGACAAAACCACTCATCATCATAGAAATAAAAACTAAAGTAGAATAAATCATATCATATCCATTAATTTAACTTTAATTGATCAGAATGAATGAATGAGTTAATGAATAATGACGGAATGAATGGGAAGATTAAGGAAAGATTTAGAAAAATAAAGAAGGTAAGGAAGGTAACGTGAGTGAAAGAAGGCATGAATGAAAGCAAGAAAGCGTGAATGTAATACAATATTATAAGTAAGTAAGTAGGAAAGGAAAGTAAATGAGCACCCACCACGCAACAAATAAACTACACAAAACAATTTACACCAAAAGCACAAAAGCAATCCCTCATCGCACCACATCATTAAAACAAACACACTAAATCTGAAATAAACTAAAACAAAATTGGAACTGGAACAAGAGGAACAATTAAAAACACAACCCGGATTGTCCAATTTATTTATTTATTAATCAATTCAATTTATTTCAGCACATGTCACTGCTGCATCGTCGTGCAAAGACCAAAATGAAATATGTAAGCCACGATATAAGGAAGAAATAAAGGAATAAATACGATGAATACTATGAGTGAGATAATCGAAAATCAAAATCGAAAGAACAAGAAAAGTAAACCGCGTAACCGCATAAACCACGTAACCACGTAACCAATAAACACGTTAAATACGTTGCACCACGGATATGAATCGATGAAAATGACAAATATAATAAAATAAAATAATAAACCAAACAGTAAGCCGAACAACCGGATGACAAGCGGACTACGTATTGAATCACAAAATAAAAGGAAATAAATAAATGCAATACCCGTAATGACGTGAAAGACATGAAATAATATGAACCATGAGATATGAAATATGAATGTAGATGGTAAATAAAATAAATAAAATAGAATACGATGGGTAATGAAATAAATAAAACGAGGCAGCAATGTAAATCGCGTAAACCATTAACACATGAAAAAGCGATATTAACCACTGATATTAATATATATAGAACCAAATAGAACGGTAAATACGATAAGACGATAAATAAATTGAACAATTAAATCACGCAGAGGGACGTAAATTGCGCAGGTTTATTAATCACACAATTATACCGTTGCGAATAAATAAATAAATAAAAGACAACAATGAGATAAAATAAAATTACGGTAATAAACGAATAAAACAGATAATGAATAGGCTGAACTTTGATTCCAGGGACATAAAATTATTGCCCTTTTTTCTTGCTCTTTAGTAGTTTTTGACACGTAGAATCCATAAATGTAGGTCGTAACTTTAGGAAATTAGCGGTTCAAAAGTTATGAGTATGTAAAGTTTCACGTTTTTAGGGTATTTTACACGCTACTTTGACGCCATGTTGCTTCCATCTATTATTTGATTGGCCCGCATAGATGAGCATTCGGCGGCCATTTTGGCGGGATAAATCAAATGTTTCATTTGAATTTGTTTTCCACGATAATGATTTCGCCGACCGCCTGTGCGAGTATTTATGGCGTCGATTTTGCCGCAAAAACAAAGTCGATATGATGGAATCATTAATGGAGGCAATTAAGAAACAATATATTTTTAAATAAGGTAAGCGGAAGTATTAGATTAGGTTAGGCTATATACTTAAATCCGACCGCCGTCAGGCGGTCGGCAACGCTTTCGTGAAATAATAATACTGTTGAAATGTAATAATTTCTTTTAAAGGGCCCTGTTTAAAATTTTTAGGTTGGTAGTATGATACATAGGAACTTTGAAAGCTCATCTATGCGGGCCAATCAAATAATAGATGGAAGCAACATGGCGTCAAAGTAGCGTGTAAAATACCCTAAAAACGCGAACTTTACATACTCATAACTTTTGAACCGCTAATTTCCTAAAGTTACGACCTACATTTATGGATTTTACGTGTCAAAAACTATTAAAGAGCAAAAAAAAAGGGCAATAATTTTATGTCCCTGGAATCAAAGTTTAACCAATGAATATAACGCAAGTTGCATAAATTATCAAGGCACACTACCCCACTGTACTATAATAAATAAATAAAATAAATAAATGAAACAAATGAAACAAATAACACAGAATAACACAAAATAGTATGAAATATAAATATGTAAGTATAAACAGCGAAGGAAAAGTAAAATAAAATATAGAACACTATAAACGATAAAATAATGAAGCGAAACATAAAATAAAATGAAAATTGATAAACGCGTTAAAATGACAATAGAAAATAATGAAAATAATAAAATAAGAAAAGAAAATAAGAAAATACGATGAATAAATATGCAAAACCGGAAACACTGGATAATCGAATAATCGAATCGATTAATCGATTGTGTTAATAAATAATAAATAATTAAATAATACAGCGGAATAACGCGCCAGTCAAACGCATGCAACCAGATAGTAAAATAAAGTAAATTAATATTAATAACACAAATAACGATGAAATAACGATGAAATATCGAAAAATCGAAAAATAATGAAAAATATCGATGCACTTTCACACAAATCACTTAATAAACCGACGCAATTAAGGGCACAGACTCCTTGTGCCATGACCTGTATGCGTGCACTCACACAATCAACGGAAAGCATGCACGTATACGCCATGCGCGAGAGAGACATTCAATTTCGTAGAATCGATTTTTCGTCTTGATAATTGCATAAATAAAATTTTCGCGAGTACAGCACACACGGGTAGACTTCGGCACAGGTCGGTCTGGTCCGCTTGAACGCTAATAAACACCATTCGTTGAGAAAAACCGTATTTTCGAAATTGTAAAATTGAGACATGTAAGATTGTAAGCAAACAACATGGCTGCCGAATGCTGCGTTTGGCTGCATTTTAGCAAATATTGGACGATTTAATGGTTTTTTCACCGACAGCACACCAGACCGACTTTCCTTAAACTAGCACAATATCACTGAAATTCGATTTTTCACAATTTATCACTTCTGGAAGACGTAAAATCGATTCTACGATTTGCACGCACCAGACGTAAAATAGACATAAGAATAGTTCAATGATTTTCCGTCAGAGGCATTGATGGTATATTTGACCACGTTATCATCAGGGTCGATAAAAACACAAATCAGTCGATAAATGTAAATTCTAATTTGACACCACCAACGGCTACGCGAATATAGCCACAAGTAAGGCATAGTTGCCGCAACGTACTGTTCACATCTGTTACAAATCGAATCATCAGCTCGAGCCGAGAAAGAGGTCCGAGAATGAAACAATACATATATTAATGTGTGCAACCATAAAACTGTTTAATTCATATTTATAATCATGTTTTTTTAACAATGCAATTAAAGATATGCCAGAAGAATGAATTATAAAACTTGCTTATTTCGCAATATTTTACAAAATAATACACATAACGTACGCGACCATAAAACTTATAGGAATGAGAACTACAGGACATTATTAATTTCAAGAAGGTGAAGCGGAGGTAGTGAGAATGCAACAATTATTGAGTAATTCTTACATTAATTCTAAACGCGTCCTATAAATATAAAACAAATAATCGGCGGCCGATGCTCGCCGGTGACAACTGATCGCGCGGACGGCGTAATACGTGCGAGTGCGAGTGCGAGTGAGAAAGCAAGATGGCGAGACGGACTGTGTTTTGTCGCACAGAATGACATCGGTTTTGTCTGTCTCGTCGCGAATATTCTCACCCGCGAGTCTGACGCGATTATTCGCCGGAGATCCGCTACGAAGGGAATAAAAAATAAACAGATGTGTAATTTCTTGAAATTTTTTATTTATTTATAAAAATTAAAAACGTATTCTCCTCCTCCTCCACGACGGCCTCCTCGTCGCCCTTGGCGCCTGCCACCGCGATAGCCGCCGTGACCACCGCGATAGCCGCCGCGGCCGCCGCTGTATAAATTTTTTTTTAACATCTTCTTGATCTGAAATATAATAATGAATTTTAATATAATTGTAGCGGACTATATATTCCATTATGTAAGATTGTGACATTATTAAAAAACCAAAAATAATCGTGGAAATTCATTTGCTACTATTGTAGAAATGATTTCCGTTTCACGAAAATCTAATTCTGCCACATTCATTACATAGATAAATCAACGTTTTTACTTACTTGCGACGTCGACACCTTCTCCTTCTTGCTCTCCTCTTTTTCTTCTTGTTTTGCTTCCTTTTGTTCTTCTTTTTCCTTTTCTTCTTTTCTTTCCTCTTTTTTTTCTTCATCTATCTGCATCTATAAAGAAAGTAATTTATATATAAATAACGTAATATTAATGATATAATATTTCACTGGCCGATTATACGCACCTCCTGGTCTGACATCTTGTCTTTTGATTGTCTTTTGTCGTTGATGCTGAAACCACTCGAATGTTGGTGGGGATCAGGACCGTGTTCACTGTTTTATAAAATAGACCCTTTTCTAATTTCTAATTTCTAATTTTACGTATTGAATTTTTATTTTCATGTTATATATTTTTTTAATAATTTAAAATCATAATATTATAAATGAATACAAGTTGAAAACTTTTTTTTAAAATAAATATTGATGTCGTTGTTGTTTATTTTTCGTAGTCCTCATAAACACTCCCCACCACAGTGCCCTATGTTTCTCCGTAGTGCATTTTACGTTTTCGCGACAGTTGCTTTCGAAGCAAGAAATAGATAACATCATTGAATTTATTTCAAAGCTTTGAAAGTGTGTAGTGATCAAAGTGATAGGTGAATATTGTTGTGTGATAGTGACAATGAGTGATAGTGAAAATGTTTTCACGATTGAAGTGATTGAAGATAGGAGAAATGAATGCGAACAGCAATGTGTGATGGCAAATACAAGTCGGCGGCCAAAATTAACAGTTCATACGAGAAGATACTCGAAAAAAAGAGCATGCCGCGAAAGAAGGCGGCGGTTAGCCCTTCAGAATACGGCAAATTGTAAAGAAATTTTTGAAGAAACGACGAATGAATTGTTTGAAATTGAAGAAACAAACAATGCTGAAGATGGGATAAATATGGAAGGCACAAATTCAGAAAATGAAGAATTGATGATACAGAAAGTTGTAACGAACGAGCCTGAAGAACAATTCTGTCTACCAAGTGGCTTGAGTATCGTGGACATGCAGCACATCTTTGCCGAATTTCAAAAAATAGGTGACCATGCTAAAAACAGGGAAGACTGTGGAATTAGACACCTGAAAATAACCGGCATGAAACGGTCGGGTCTGAGGACCACCTTCAGTGTAATATGCGATATGTGCAAATATACAGGTGAAATCCACAGTGAACCTGACGAAAGCAATCACATGGAAACAAACCAGTGTGCCGTTGCTGGAACAATTGTGAATGGAGCCAGTTATGCCCAAATGGAAGAGTTCCTTGCAGCGATGAACATACCCTGCATGTCGAAGAAAGAATTTAGAAAACATCACGATGAAATAGTGAAAACATTAATTGTTGCTGCAGAAGAAGAAATGGTAACAGCGGCAGAGGAAGAAAAACGCTTGGCCATTGAAAGAGGCGATATTGTTTCCGGATGTGGAATCCCTCACATCCCCGTTGTGGCCGATGGAAGCTGGATGAAACGATCATACCGGACTGGAACGTACAATTCCGCGTCTGGAGTCGGCGTTATAATTGGATATCACACGAAGAAAGTTTTATTTATTGGTGTGAGAAACAAGGTGTGCAGGATTTGTCGATGTGCTGCGAAAAAGAAAGAAGAGCCACGAAAGCACACCTGTTTTAAAAATTGGAGCGCAAGCCAAGCATCAACGGCTATGGAAAGTGACGCTATAGTCGAAGGCTTCAAGACCAGCGTAGAAAAACGTGGGCTGATTTATTCAACACTAATTGCTGATGGGGACAGCAGCGTTTATAAAAAAATTATAGATGCAGATCCATATAAAGCACAGATTCGTGTAAAAAAAATTGAATGCACGAATCATTTATTGCGAAACTTTTGCAGAAAAATGAAAGAAGTTGTAAAGATGACAACACCTGGTCCATTCAGAAGAATCGTTGAAAGCAGCATTCGGCGAATGCGTGCGGACATAGTAAAAGCCGCAGAGTACAGATACAGTCAGCAAGTAACAACCGCTGAAAAAATTAAGAATTTGTATGCCGACATACACAATGTTCCTAGCCATGTTTTTGGTGAACACGCAGATTGTTCAAAACTACAATACTTCTGCGATGGAACGAGTAAAAAAGATGAAAAGAACATTGTTCCCGAATTGATGAAGATGGGAGTGTACGAACAAATCAAAGATATACTTCGACCTCTGTTGGCGCATGCTGAGAGTTTGCTGTATAACAGCAACAATAATGCCGTAGAAAGTTTCAACGGAATCATCGCAAAATATACAGGAGGAAAAAGATTGAATTTCGGCGAGAGGGGATCTTACACGGGAAGATGTGCTGCTGCTATCCTACAGTATAACACAAAACAAGTGTTGTCGCGTCTGAATACGGCGATGAACAAGGAACCGCCCGTTATTTTACGCAAAATAGAAAATAGAAGGAAGAAAGAAAATGAGAAATACAGTGAAAAGAGAAAGGAAAAAAAAATTACAAAGCACGTGCGGAAACAATTCCGTTCTGAAAAGGATTCCAATTACGGACCAAATGCTGAAAAGCCGGATATGGCTAACAATATTTATGAATTAGAGCAAAAAAAACATATGGAAATGTTACAGAATTGGCAAAATAGAAGAGATGCCATTGAAGAAGAAACCATCGGTCAAGCGAAAAATCCGAGATGGTTGAATTACAAATCTAAATTATTGATGGCCTCAAATTTCGGACGAATATGCCGTCGTCGAATTGGCACGCTCTGTGGAAATTCAGTGAAGTCGTTAGTATATCCACGACTGATTAGTGCACCTGCAGTACAATATGGACAGGAATGCGAAAAATTCGCACGTGAACAACTAAGTGTGTGCATTGGTGTTGAAATTAAAGAATGTGGATTATTTATTGATAGTGCCATCCCGTTCTTAGGAGCTTCGCCAGATGGACATATAGACGAAGAGGGCATTGTGAAAATCAAATGTCCGAAAACGGCGGAGAATTTATTGCCGGAGGAGGCAATCAAAAGTGTTGCAGTTATTCGGCGTATATTTGCAGACGCAAAAGGAAATGAATTGAACAGGAACCACTAGTATTACTACCAAGTACAAGGACAATTACATGTCACAGGTAGAAAATATTGCTTATTTTGTATTTGGACCCGAAAAGGGTTAAAGTACATTAGAGTCGATAGAGACGATAATTTTTGGCAAAAGAATATGGAGCCAAAATTAATTCAATTTTATTTATTGTGCATGTTACCCGAATTAATAGATAGCCGGTACAATAGAGGAATGCCCATTCGGGAGCCTCAATTTATAACAGAGGAGAGAGCAAGCTTGGAAAAGCGCAAAAGGTCTCTCTCAGAAAGTAGCACGAATATTGCTACTGTCCGGCGTCGCACTGCACTGTAAAGTGCAGTAACACTGACTCTGTTGGTGGTTCACAATTGCATGAAATAGCAATTGTACTCGCGGATCATACAATCTCGTGAGTTGCTCTACACAAAAATACTGTTACTGTTTGGCGTCGCACTGCACTGTAAAGTGTAGTAACACTGACTCTGTTGGTGGTTCACAATTGCATGAAATAGCAATTGTACTCGCGGATCATACGATCTCGCGAGTTGTTCGACGCCGATATACACATTTTAAAATAGTGACCTTTGAAAAGTCAAAAAAGGTCTTATGCGGACAGTAATAAAAAATACTGTTACTGTCCGGCGTCGCACTGCACTGTAAAGTGTAGTAACACTGACTCTGTTGGTGGTTCACAATTGCATGAAATAGCAATTGTACTCGCGGATCATACGATCTCGTGAGTTACGCGATGCCATACTATATTTCTTAATTTGTTACAGATTTTCGAAGAAAGGATTCCCGAGAAGAGGTTTTTTGGAGCGAAGCGAGCGTTGGACTCAAAATTTATTTTTTCAGCTGAAACAATTTTTTTCTTATTCCCTTCATGAAATTATTAATGTCCTATATCATCTATTTCCATTAACTTTTTCTTTTTTCAATATTTATCTTCATTCATCTTCATTCATCTTTGCATGAACATTTTTGTCGTTGAGAAATTAAAAACAGCATTTTCCTCTTCTCGAAATAAATTAAAAAATTATATATAGGTATATTCAAGAAAGCATTACCTAACAGGACAAATGGACTGCGAATATGCTGTTTGATCACGTATAATCGGCAAGTATAATCTTACATAATTAATATTACGTTATCTATACATAAATTGCTTTCTTCACAGATGGATGAGGAAGAAGAAGAAGAAAAGAAAGAGGATAGAAGAAACAGGAGAAAGAGGTCTAAGGAACGAAGTCGAATAAAAGGGAAGAGAAAGGAGAATCCGAGGCCGTCAACGTCGCAAGTAAGTAAAAGCGTTGATTCTTCTATGTAAGAAATGTGGCAGAATTAGATTTTTCATGAAATGGAAATTATGTCTACAACAGTAGCCATTATTATATTTCAGATTAAAAAAATTCGATACCATAGCCATGACTGGGATGGCTGTCATGGTAATCGACGATGCAGACGTCGCGGAGAAAGAAGAGGCAGAAGCGAGCACTGGGCGGCAGGCGACGGGCGGCCGTCTAATTATTATTTATATACCTATATTGATAATATTTAAATGAATAAATTGTATATATAGATCAATTTACATCTGTTTATTTTCCATTCCTTTTCTCAAATTATTAATGCCATGTAGTTTTTATTCGTATAAGTTTTATAGTCGCGTACGTTATGTGTATTACAGAGTCTCATCGAATCTGTCGTCGCGTGTGACTCGAACATATGTATTTCTGCCGATCGGTACTACGTTGTTTCATTCATGATACTCCTTCTCTTTCTATCGCGCTGTCCTTTTCTATGTCCGCCTGGAATTAAAATCTCGCTCGGCTCGAGTGAATTCATTTTGCTAGATGGTCAGGATTGTCACAGATGTGGCAACACCGCGACAGATCTCTCAAATGATGTGATTCTACAACTACGCCACCTCACTTTCGTTTCTTATTCTGCATAATGATGTTAGATGTCACACCGTCAAATGTCAAATTTCTCAATTAAGTGTTTTCATGATTGGCCGATTCTTTCCAATGGCGCTTATATCGATTCGGAGGAGGCCTCGAAGGAGTCTGTGCCCTTAACGGAAAACATTAACGGAAAACATAATAAAATCAGAATAAAGGAATAAAAATAATACGTCACCAAACCGTTGACCTAATTTCCCATCGTCTGTCCTCTTCTATCCAAGGCCCGGGCCGCGCGTGCAGGTTGACTATCCTTGTCCAACCACAGCAGCCATCTTGAAAACCTGTCAATCCTGTCTAATCTTGCATGCGTTGTCTTCATTAATTTAATCGCAAAAAGTCACAAAAAACGCGGAATTTTAATGCGGAACGTTCCCGATTAATCAAAATTATCCGTAAATAATGTCTAATGTTCATAATTAACGCCACGAATACCGGGAACACACGTGGAAATGCCGCGTAACACGCACATCACATTTTCGTTATTTAACAATAAATTAACACAATATTTAATCACAAAACACAATAATAGCACTCCCGAACACTTAATAAACACTATTTAACAAAAAACGCGAATAAATAAGCCGCTTTTCACCGCGTTGCGAAACTAACCACGGAGCGACCACGAAACACGTCCGCTCTCCTCGACGCGTCGAGCGGGAATCAACCTAACCCTAACCTAACCCTAACCCTAACCCTCGCCCTAACCTAACCTAACCCCTTTTTTTTAACGAGGGGGGGAAAAATGCTATTACGCACACCGGTCAGATGGACTTCCGGTAGTGTTGGACTTCTATCGTAGTGTACCCACTAAAAAACCCCCGCCTCGAGTTCGCAGATCGGCTGCCAGAGTCGCGTGAACCACCCCCCGGTACTGCTATGTGCATTTCTTCAGGGGGTAGTGCGACAAGTCTGACAAAAGTAGTAAACTATTATGGCCTTTGAAATGACCACTGTTATTCAGGTTATCATATACTTCCAAATTTTGATTGCTGGCGAACTTGATCCCGTAATTGCACTATGCCCTACGCTGGCCATCTAAGCCGAGGATTCCATCTTAACTATGGTCATCAAAAGACTGTTCTTTATAGGGTATACACCCGTATATCATCTTTAGCCGATTAAGGTGATTCTACTATGCCTTCTACACGTTCGTCCTCGCTATATTACTTCACAGAGTGCTCCCACGACCCTTTCGGGTTTGTATAGCCCTTATTCATTGGTCGGTAAACCGCGTTTTATCCGGGATTGTTCTCTAACACCTTATCTACTTTCTAAGAGACCACCTAGGCGCTGTTATTAACATAAATAATGATAAAAGCAAATGTTACCTGTTAGGCAAGTGTCCAATTAAAAGGTTAAAAATCACTCTCCGCCGCAAGGGTGGAGATCTGTACAACATATAAAACAATAAATAAAATATGGTAATTACTACTAGGTCGCTATTATAAAATAAAATATAAATAAAATTCGTGAATAAAACATCAAGAATAACTTAAAACAACAAAATATCACAGTACGCAAGACTGATGTCATCGTCTTAAAACATTAAAGCCACCCTTGTGGTCTCGCATAAAGGGCGAGAAAGCACAGGAAAACGACAAGGTCATTCAGACTTTTCTTTTCCCTTTCTTCTTTTTGAAAGGTCTTAGCACTTCGCTTTCGAAGATTTCCTTCTCCCTCAGTGTCCTGTTAATGTAGTCGAGTATGTATACTCTAGACTTAACCTCTTTAAGCATCCTCATAAAATTATCTACCCTAAAATCTTCTTGTAATTGGTTACACAGTATTTCTCGGTCCTGTCTCCATCTCGCGCAGTTGAACAGGAAGTGGACGGGGTCATCTTCCTCCTCAGCGCAGAACCAACAGCTAGCGGAGTCCTGTTTTTTAAATTTCTTCAAGAAGGTACCGAAACACCCGTGGCCCGTTAATACTTGGGTGAGGTGGAAACTTAGAATTTCTGGACCCCAAGTAATCCACTCCATTATATCGGGGATCAGGTTGTGGGTCCATCTCCCTTTGGTGGATACATCCCATTCTAGTTGCCACTTCTGGATGGTAAGGGTTCTCAGTCTCTTCTTTTCCTTTTTCATGCATTCTTTGCCTTCTTCTGAAGGTTGGTTCAGCAAACCCTCCCTGTAACTAAACAAGGATTCCCTTTCTCTTATTAGCATGTGTAGTGGGACCTGCCCCGTCAATACACATAGGGCATCCGCCGAGACCGTACAATATGCCCGAGACATCCTAAGCAGGGCAGTACGTTGGGTACTAATCAATATATTGGTGTTACCCTTCAATTTTAACCCCACACTCCATATCGGCGCCGCATACGTTATGACGGACTCGACCACCTTGTAGTAGAGCTTTCTAGAGAGGTTTCCAGCACCCCTCGTGTTTGGAGTGAGTAGCGACAACACATTAGCATATTTTAATGCTTTATCGCAAATAGCCGAGATATGGTGTCTAAAGGCCTGATTTCTTCCCAGCAGCAATCCTAGATATTTGACCTTGTCGGCTGTTTTAATAATGACCTCGCCGCAATTCAGGCTAAGCGTGCCCGGAACCCTCGATCCGGTTAGTAAGATGGCCTCAGTCTTACCTTGGGCCAGGGTCAGACCCTCTTTTTTGTACCATTTCGTCATCTCTGCTATTGCCTGCTCAGCTTTACTAACCAGCCGGTTTAGACTCGGTTCTATTAGCACAATCCCGATGTCATCGGCAATCGAATTAGGTGGATTCTCTTCCTCAGCCTTAACCTCAACAGGTCATCGTAGACTATGTTCCATAACAGGGGTCCGATCACGGACCCCTGGGGGACCCCCTCAAAGACCTGGTATCTAAGGACTGTTTCTTTACCTTCATACAGGATCCAGCGGTCATTCAAGTAACTCCGAATCGTGTTGATTAGTCTCCTAGGGAAACCTCTCCTAGGGAAACCTCTTCCCCTGTGGCTCGGGGGAAAAGAATACGGCCACGGTATCCCCTGCCTGTCGTAAGAGGCGACTAAAAGGGGGCTGAAGGGAGTGAAGATCCATGGTCAAGATCAATGGTAGTGGATGAAGGGACAGAAACTACTCCCCGGAAGTGAGGAGCTTTATAAGAACCCTGAATGCGAGGATAGGATGGATTTTATGACGACCCGGCTATACTTTTGGACTATTCTACAATAATAAAATTATGAACAACACAACAAATAATAAAAAACCTTACGGTGCAGGAGATCTCGGAAACTCCAGTACCGGCTCGTCGGGTGGTGTGTGTGCAGGCCCCCGCGAGTCGTCAACCAGCGACTGCGCATCGCAGGAGGTTAAACGTCAGGCCCCTGCGAAAGCATCTGCTACTGACGTAGTCAAGGGTGGACTGAGGACGGTAGAGGACGTCGAAACATGGTTCTCCAGCAACATGGAGAATGAAATATTCAGAAGAGCCTCCCTGATAGAGCGGTCCCCCCCACAGGTGAGAGTGAGCCCGACAGCCCCAAAAGGAAAGGGCTCCACGAGTCGAATGGATGAATCCATAATTGAGGTCCCAGTGGAGGATCTACCCAGACGTGCTAGGGATCCGGAGGTTCGGATGAACCAGTGCCTAAATGTAATCGTGGAGATGGCGGTAGTTATGATGGAATCTAACGCGGTAATTCGAAAAGCCATGATGAAGGACAAACCTGTGAATACAATGATGGAGACAGCGTTCCAGAAATCGGACTCCTGCCTGGAGAAACTAGCTTCAGTGATTGATGATTTGAGAACGGCGAGGGACGATATGCTGACAGAGGAAACGACGAGAGTCACAGCACCTGAAAAGAAAAAGAAAATGATTAGTACATATCTGAAAATGGGTAGGGAACACGTGACGGGGAGAGGCGAGGCCGCGTCGGAGGAGAAGGTGTATGAGCGCCGGGAAGCGGGCACTCAAACAACTATGGATGAGGAATTCCCCCCCCTCCAAACGAGGAATAAAAGGAAGGAGATCTCCCCTACGCAAGAAAACGCTGAAAAAAGGACAAAATCGAACGAAACAACAGGAGCATTCAGAGCGAAACCCAAGATCAGGAGTGTGGAAACAAGGATCGGGAGTCCACTGGTGTATGTCGATAGCCCTGAACTAGGAGAACCGAGATGGGAACTGGTGAGAAAAACAGGAAGGAAAATTAGACCTTCCCCGCTGCAAGGAACTACCGGCGGTGAGGTGGAAAATAAGTGTCACACCCATGCTGAAAGGGTACCCCTACATAACAAGAGGAAGAGGAACAAACCACAAGCCATTGCAATACGCTTCGAGCCCGGTATATCTTTCGCGGAGGTCCTAAAAAAGGTTAAGAGGACTGTGGGGCCGGCACCGGAAGGTGTGAAGGGAGTGAGACAAACGAGAGCTGGCAATTTACTATTGGAATTTACACCAATGGCGGACCTGGAAACGATAAAAAAGGCACTAGAAGGTAAACTCGGCGATGATATCACGGTCGCAAAGCTCCAAGAAAGAGTAGATTTGGAAATTAAGAATATCGATCCAGACGTTGAGAAAGAAGAGATTCTCGATGCGGTCATGAAGGCTACGGGCTGCTCCCAGAAGGAGGTACGGCTGAAAGTTTTACGCACAGACCCCCGTCAAAACAAAGTTGCGTTGATAG